TCCCTGTCTGGAGGCAAAAAGAAAAAGGGCCCACCAGCCAACTTGAAAAGTAAACTAAGGTACACATATACTGGAGCACATCTTATAATTAACGAAACACAGGTCCCACACAGAGGTTGCGGTCGGATAATCCAAAAATCAGCTCCTAACGTCTAACCCTATCTCCTATTCCTTGACCTCTGAGTGAAACGTCACGGGGTTAAGGGATAGTGGATAGGAGAATTCAAAAGGACTTAGGAGAAGAGACTGCAGTACTTTAGAGAATCCGAATGCACTTTCACTATCCAACGTGTTTATGATGCGCCAGCGGACGTCATTTTGTGCGTCTGCTGCGGGGATATGGAAACTACAGTTTTCTATACAACGGACTACAACATCGATGTTTAATAAGAACGACGGACTCATTTAGAGACTCTGCACCGTGCTCTGATGCTGTTGCTTTATGCTTTATGAACAACAGAGAAACATATTCTTCATGACCAAAGTTGGAATTGAAATAAAAAATGAAAGTGAAACTTATGCTCGTCACCCTCTCCCTCCGGTCCACATTAATACAAATGATCCCAATACGTATGATTGTATGAAGTATGAAAAGATCTTAAAATCAATACAAATGTATTTATTATAAACGTTAGTCCTTAACATCTATCACTGTGTATATACCATTCAAACATATTTTAAAAGTTGAACAAACCCCACACAGCTTAGTGAAATGTTGACTTTATTTGATCATTTCAGTAAAAACTAACGTTCATATTTCTCTTTTTGATTATGATACTGATGAACGTTCAAAACAAAGCACTTTGGCAACTTACCACATACGTTTTAAAATGCTTAAGCACCGTAACTTTCATGATATAATTTCTCCGTCATAATCGTTTGTGTCCGTGAAAGGCCGACTGTTGTGTGACGTCAAATGCTGCGGCTGCAAGGCATTGTGGGGCAGCATTTTCTCCTCTCCTTTCGGTTAGGGAGGTCCAGTGGTTCCTAAGCTAAAGGAGGTTATAAAGGAAGTTTGAAACCTCCTTTCCTATCATTCTAGAGAATTCGAACGGCACTTATCATGGCTGCCACTGAGGGACTTCCGGGTCATTTCACTCGGTTAGGAAGGTTCCTAAGCTAAATGGACTATCCGAACGCAACCCTCGTCTGATCGAAAATACATCACAGACGCATTTGTTTGTCTTTTTGCATGTTAGAAATGAGTAGGCGACACTAAGACTGCGATATAATGTTTTTGTAGCAATAATACATGACATATCTTTTTTAAATGTCTCCAGTACCGATAAAAAGACCAATAACGTTGGAGCTTAACGACGCGTAAAACACACGTGATGACGTCACCAACGAATCGACGACTGAATTAGTTGGCAACTAATTTGGTCTTCGATTTTAATCGATTAAGTCGATTAGTTGTTGCACCCCTAATGCTGAATGTCCACCAATGTTCCTTATGAGGAGAGAGCTTATTTGGCTGCTTACTTCGATTGATTTGTCTTCAATGAAAAACTCGGGACATTTGGAAAAACTCTGGTGACATTAATGTAGCATGTAGAAAGTAGGCTTGTTTTGGCTGTGTTTGTCTATCTGTAGATTTATATGTCAGACAGCTCTATGGCTGTAGGATTGAGAGGTGACAATTCATAGTATAAGGGCAAACATCCTCTGGTTGGTGCTCATGGTTAAAAAAAGAAAACAAGTCAAATAGCAAGAAGCCAAAATAGATTTAAGGAAGTATATATACTGGTCTATCATACAATGATGGTTTGAGTGAAAATAAATCAAGATATTGTTCTCTAGGAAACATGCTGCCAGTGTTTTTTTGATAGAAGCTGTGACGAAGCTCTCCCATGTGCCCTGCCAGCAATTTTCTGCTTGAAAAAACACACTCTATATTGACACACTACCTAAATAATAAGTTCCTCTTTATAATACGGTTATAGGAATCACGTACGCTTATCAACATCAATCAATCAAGCACATTTCAAACAACTGACTGTTGTGGAGCTGCTGCCATGTGGCCTTCACTTACACAGGGTCTTTCAGCACTGTGCAGCCACCCAGGTGTTAGCAGCTGGCTCAGCTCGCCTCCAGGTTTACTTTCTTCCTTCCAGCTGCTGTAATAACATTTTCTACAGCCAAATGTTATTATTCGATAAAGAAATCCCATTGAAGATGGCAACCTCCTGTGTGCTAATGTAATCTTCTCATATCCGCAACCACCACCAAGTCACCATCAGATATTCAAACACTGGGACATTTATTTTTTGTAGGTTATACTTCTATTTTCTTCACTTTTTATACTTTTCCTACATGATGACGTGCCTTAAGATGCAGATCATGTGATGGCGCCTCAGTTGCTGGAGCTGACAGCTGCTGCAGGGACAAGGGCTCATCATGCGGGGCGAGGCAGAGCGTGTTGGCCAGTGGTTAATGAACCATGTATGCTTGTAGCACAAATCGATGTCCTGTGACACTTGGACAATGTCCCTTAGTTAGCAGAGTGGAAATCCCCTAACACCATGTGCTGAGGACAGTCAGTTCTCACAGGAGTCAATTCAGTTTAAGGGCTACGGCCGACTCTTGCCTCTAGCTGTCGTGTTTTTGACAATTGATGTGATTGTAAACCGCCCATTTTTGAAAACAAAGTGGGCTTTGCAAAAAATTCAGCAAATCAGCAAAGCTGTTTTTCATTACAAATAGTTCATACCGGGTTGAAAAAACAATTTAATTGAATTAAAAAAAAGAAGTTAGTTTTACACACTAACTTATGGTTTCTTTCTTATTCCAGGTCAGGGTACTCTTCTCCAAAGGGCCTTTTATTTCCGTTTTTGCCAGTGACCCCCATATCATCATCAAAGCTATCAACCAAAACCTCAACAGTGTGCTGAGAGACTCCAACATCAACGGACACGACTACATGAGGAACATCGTCCACCTGCCAGTATTCCTCAACAGCAGAGGCCTCAGCACGGCCAAAAAGCTCTGCACCGCTGCCCCCGTCAACGGAGAGCCACTTCCTGCTGAGGGTAAAGTATAACGGCTAATTGAACATTTATTGTACTGTTTGGATTCATTTATATCACCCTTTTTTTCTAAACAACATAACAATGGTCAGTCAAATACAATACCAAGGCTGGGTAAGGTTTAGAGGTTAGGTAGCTCAAAAACATATTAGTTATTCTTTCCCCAACCTATAGTCATTATTTCTTTATTTGAAATCTTCTTCTCTTTTTATTATAATTCAAGATATTTCATTGTGAACATGTTTAGAGGATTGCTTTCAGTTTATGGCCATTTTAGGCATGAATTGACAGAATGGGAAAATATATTATTCTATTTTATTTGAGAGGTACATTTTTATTTCCGCATGCGAGCATTGGTGAGATGTGAATCTCTATGTTTCTCTTCCTCTCTCTCTCTGATCAGGATGGCATGAAGACTTGGACAGGAAGATGTCTCAGACCAGCATGGACCAGGCCAAGTTTGGCAGCAAGAACGCCCTCAACCGCAGGGTAACCGCTATTCAAGTCAAGATTATTTGTGTAAACCAATATCACATACGATGTTTTGTTGGGGTTTACATTTCCACATCAATGTTCCCAACCCGGCCCAAGATCTAAAGAAGACAGTGAAGAACAATGGCACACAATAAAGACTATGGGAGAAGCATTTTGAAGAGAAACCCCCCCCTTTGCTAATGGCTGGGGATGTGTCATAGATTGTAACAATGGCATTAATAATAGACAGGCAATAATAGAAAGTAGGATTATAATATATCCAAATGAGATATGGAAAGACCAATATATCAAGCACTGCTTTTCTACTTGTTATTGTAAATAGAAAGGGTGCACACCCCATCGTTACCAATGACAACCAAGCCAACAATAATAAGAAATCGCAGAAAAAGCTTTTGAAACCAAATGAAAGCAGAGATAGATGAACGAGGTAAAATAAATTAGTTTTCCCACCACACTTAATATTCCCACAACGCTCATTTTATCTGGAAATACCATAGCGCTGGAAATGAATGATTGATGCCTTGATATTAATCAAACAAAATTAAAAAGCAGTTAATTTGCTGCAACGAGAAGAGAAAACATTGGATTGGGATTAGAGATGCTGCCTTGGAAGCCCCCCCCCCCCCCCNNTTGCTCTCTCTTTTTTTTTCCGGCCTCCTCCTGGCAGTGGGGGGGGGAGGCGGTGGTGCAGTACAGACGTTGTGTTGGCAGGCAGTGCGGAGGCCAGAGGACAGAAGGAGACACACAGAGACGAAGAGAGAGGTGCTCGGTGTGCGGCCAAGGTTCCTGGTGTAATTGATGTAATGACTGTTTATCCTTCCTGCTGCGTTGCCACAGCCTAATGACAAGACCTAGCAGCAGTGGGTCCCTGTGACAAAACACTGGCACCAGGACTGCTGGCAGGAGGCTAAGTGACTCTGCTGCTGTCGCTGATGCCTTCCTCCCCCCTGCGAGACCTTCCCTCTACCCCTCCCTCCTTCCCGCCTCCTCCTCTTGTTTGTTTGTTTGTTTGACATTTGTTTGTACCTCGGGTTTATCTAGTACCCTCAATTATTGGTGTTGGCCCTTCTATTATGGGGAGGCATTCTCTTTTTATTTGCCCTCTGCCACTAGCTAGCTCTTGGCAGGAGGGCCCTCTGTCTACAAGTGGAGATTAAAATGAGGGCAGGAGGGGGAAATTAATTAGTGGTTCTTCATTTTCATGTGTCTTCTCAAGTCGCGGATAACATTAGGAGTATCTCTACCATCTTCTTTCCATTTTTTGGGAATGAATAATGTCCTTTTTTATAAGGAAAATAACTCTAATAAATCCACCACCCTCTCAATGTATGACAATGGTTCACAGAAAAGTGTATCAGCAAGTAGAAAAGCAACAGTGAGAGTAAGTAAATACAGACACAATCATCCGAACCAATGAAGCTGTAAATCTAAAGTCAAAATCAATAGGTATTGGACAGTCATCCACACAGGACTGTCTGTATGCTGGACCTTTCCAGTTGTGACTGAGTGGGGGCCATATGCCTCGTCTCACTATAGAAAGAGGTCATGAGACTGGCATTATGACTTCAAAGTCAACCAAAAGCCTCGCCTTGGCTCATGACCACAGCAGCTGTCTGATATCATCACAGATGTTCTCTGCTAGATCTGTGTCAACAGCTCGCCTGTGTGTCATGACTGTTCAGCTTCGGACAGTGGCTCTTTGATTTGCATTTGTAGTCATAGGGATTGGTATGTTTTGCTCATTAAAAGATGGATGATGTAGTGGGGAAGACAGAAGAAGCTGATGTTTTTAAAGTTAAACTATTAAATAAAAAATGTTTGCTGGATTATCTTTACATTCCGAAAGTGCTTGTAAACCATTGATAAAATATATAATTGGGTTGCATAACGTAAATATAAATCAACATGGATATGACAACATGAGGCCGGCTATCCACCTTCATCGACATTTCTTTCTCAATCTAGTGAAGCTTAAGGTTTTACAGTGACATGAACCGAGATGACCCTCAAGCCTGAAATGCCAGCGCTCCTGTCTCACGTATTAAAGCTAGCAGTGATGACGCAAAAGTATCAAAACGTGTGCTAGGGTCTGTTCATGCTTTTGTTTAGCATGCTGTGGTTGTGTTTGTTTTACTTCTGTGACTGTAAGAGAGTTCTTCTTCGCCACCGGTAAACTGCTATATTTAATACACCACTTTCTTTCATAAAGTTTGAATAAAAATACCATTCTGATACATTAAAGCTGCATTAAACACCACATATAATCATAGTCATAAAGACGCATAGTGTCCAAGCCATCTAGAAAATGGTACAAATCGAAAATGTCCAATCTTAAGCTAATTTAGGCTCTCTGTGTGTATAGGACACATACAGGCGTCGGCAGATGCAGAGGACCGTCACGAGACAGATGTCCTTCGACCTGACCAAGCTGCTGGTGACTGAGGACTGGTTCAGCGACATCAGCCCACAGACCATGAGGAGGCTGCTCAACATAGTCTCCATTACAGGTAAAGAAGAAACAATATGCTGCTTAAGAGCCACCCTCATTTGGTTATATTAACAAAACAACAACAACAACCCTAAATAAACTCTTAAATTCAAGATGATTGTCAGATTTAGCCATAGGGAAGAAATACTGAGGATCGAGGAGGGAAAAACATAAACACACTGATGGAATTTAATACTAGACCACTAGGGGTCAATATTATGTTACGGAGGGGGGGAATTCAACCAAGCATTTTAATGAAAACTTAGCTCATAGGTTTCTGAGATGACCTTTGTTTTCTCAGACAGATTAGACCAGCGACTTCTTAGGCCACTAATCCTCCTCACCTTTGTTATAGGTCGTCTGTTGAGGGCCAATCAGATCATCTTCAACTGGGACCGGCTGGCCTCTTGGATCAACCTGACCGAGGAGTGGCCTTACAGAACGTCATGGATCATCCTGTTTCTGGAAGAGAGTGAGGGAGTGTCCGACCACACTGCTCTCAAGACCATCTATGAGAGGTACACACACACACACACACACACACACACACACACACACACACACACACACACACACACACACACACACACACACACACACACACACACACACACACACACAGAGACAGACAGACAGACAGACAGACAGACAGACAGACAGACAGACAGACAGACAGACAGACAGACAGACAGACAGACACACACACACACACACACACATAGACAGACAACACCCCCATCTCTTTAGCTACTAATCTGTTCTACAAGTTGTACATGCTTTCTTTCTTTTCTAACTTATCTTGGGTGACGACTCTAGCACACTTAGGTGACCTTGCTTAGTTTAAGGACCCGGTGTTGTTGGTAAACTATACGCCTGTGGCTTCTGTGTCCTGACCTTTTTTTTTACGAGAATATCCTGAACAGAATGTAAGTTTTGCATTCAATAAATACTCCCATTTCTTTATGTTCTTTCTTTGAAATACTGATATAACTAACTCTTACCAGGAGGTGGCAGTAGAGGATTTGGTTTTCACTGTTAGCAACATTAGTGCACAGTCCCTGAGAATAGCTTTGAGTGCAACAGTAATTGGCAACTGACAGACAGATTTTGTAATTGATCATAATGCACAAGTCAAATAGATGACTGTAATACAGCCTGGTCTTCTCTGGACTAATCCAGGGACACTTTTCCTTAAAATTGGACAAAAGAAAGTCAATGCTCAGGCATCTTTGTTTGAGCAGTGAAGGAAAGTATTGTGTCTGTGCGTGTATTCAGTACGACTGTTCATGCCTTTGTATGTGTGTGTGGTCACGGATGCTTTTCAGCATGCTAACCGCAGACAGGAGGAGGAGGCCGACACGGGCCGAGTCGCTGGGTTTGGGTGCTGCTGTGTATCAGTCGATGGCCTTTAAAGGTTGCACTCTGTCACAATACACTAGTGCCTATGACTCCTGCGGCAGGGAAGCGTCACAGACAGTTACTGTCAGCCAGTCAGCCAGCTAGATTCAGCAGACATCCCTCCCTCCCCCATCTCCACAGCCTCATTAGAGTAGGTTTGCTTTTCAGAGGACAATAGGAATTACCTTCCATTTCTTTGATGTTACAGGGGACATGTCAAGTATGAGGGGAGGACAGACTACAAGGTATTCGAGGAGAAGCATTTCAGTTAGCGGTTTCGATTATTTTAGCTGAATATGATGATATATGCCCTCTACAAATGTTCATTTATGCGGTAAAAATGCACTTCTCTGTTTATCTTTATGATGTGTCATTATAGTGGACATCCTTAAGGAAATGTGCACACTTTTTACCACAAATATTCTGGAAAATCCGACTCTCAGATATATAATTATACACTGGAATAGCCATCAAATGCTGCTGTGATTCTACGTCTTGCCTGGATTTGAGCGCCTCCTTCCCCACATCACTGGATTGTGCTTACACCGCTCATTAGCCTTAATAAAGCCATCGTCTTGTTGTTGACCAACGGCCCTGTCTTTCTTCATCTTCCTCCTCACTGGCTGTCTTTCCAAATGGCTGCTCTGTACTGTAGTGGCCGTCGGAGGAGCAGCCTTAATGATGATGACAGGAAGCCTCAAACAGGCTAAACACAACGCCTAGCCTAGAGGCCTTATCTCTTGCACTAATCTTCTGCTGATAAGACTCAGGCCTCTGTCTGTGTATCTTTTTCCGTCTCTCTTCTCTTTTCTTCCCCTTCCTTATGATCTGAGGCTCTTAAGTCCCTTTTATTATTCTGTCTTTTTCCCTCAGCAGTCGATAGGCCCTTTACTGGCCTCTCACAAACTCAAGCCCCACTGTGTGTCTGCTTCAGAAATGGATATCTTCTTTTTCTTACTTTCCTTTTTTTACATGAACACCACATGAGCACACTCGCACATATCACATGTTACTTCCTGTATAGTATACTTAGCATCCTTTTGGTTTAATTCCGTTACCAGCGCAGTTAACCCCCTAATGTGTGGTCATGTTTTTGTTTCACATGCATTCATAGAAACGAGTTATTGTGCTCAGCCATTTTTACACAGGGGAACAGCACATCCCCTGAGCGTTACTAAGTGAATATATTAGTGGTGAAGTGAACGTGGGGGTGAGTAAGCCCCTTATAGGTCAACTGTCGCCCTGCATCTCAGTCACATAGCTGCATGCTCTTCCTCTCCTCTATGTAAGGCTTGCTATGGCTGAGTACATAGAGAATCAGAAATATTACACTTTCTTAAGTCATAGTCTGGAGAAATCTTCAAAATAATTGCCTTCTACAGCTACATCTGTTAAAAGATAAGTTTAAATATAGGTTTGATCCTTGCCTGAGGTCTTTTGAAGTTGGCTCAGTTTTATACCCTTCTAAATTAAAACAAAATTGAGCCATCCACTACAAAACCAACAGGGAACATTGCATGAGTTACATATAGAGTGCCTCTCAGGGATGACAGCTACTCTATGGCATGTACCTGAACTCCTAGAAAAGAGAGAAAAAATAGAAATCCACCCGCCCACCTTTGCCTCATATCTCACACAAACACTCGCTTTCAAAACGGCTAAGAGCTGTTTTTAGCAACTTGCCTGGCAATAACAAGTGCCATGAAGGGCTGTGAAGTGTCATTGTAGGACACGGCGTGAAGAGAAATGTGTAGCGCTAATTCCCGTAGCGGGAGTGGGCCAGTACAGCCTTCCTAATCTGATGGAGAATGTGTAATCAGTTAATAACCTCAGCGATTTCTATCATTAATGGTAAGACCGGTGGCTGCCGGGACTAAAGCAAGGTAGCAGGGGGGAAAACAACAAAGATGCCACTGTGTGTAGGAGATATTAGTTCAAAGCAATCAAACACACACACGTATTGCAGCTAAAATGTTGGTCTCACTATTTACGTTGAGTAAACTCCAAATCCCCCCTCGAGCAGTGAGCCATCGCCGTGGCCTGCCCAGCACACTGACTGAAGCGGAAAACGAAAAACGAGAAGTGTTTTGGACCGATCCTTTCATTTGTAGCTGTCAAATTAACTGCCCCAAATCCGTGTTTCCAATGCTGTTTTTCCAGCACGGGCTAATTGAATTTAGAGCCTGCAGCCTTGTGACTATCATTTTCAGCTGTATCATTTATTCCTTGTCAGTATCCTAGTTTTTTTCTCAGGAGCCAGTTGTTCCTTGTTTTAGCTGCCATTAGAGAGTTAACGACTATCGCTAACCTAGCTCTCTCCTGCTTCATGGTTATTGCATCGAAGCAGTTTTGCTATTTCCAGACAACCGTTGATGGGCTTTTGTATGTTTATTTTCTTGTTGTTGTTTAGAGTCATTACATTACAGAAAAACTGTTAGTAGAGGGATTCCAAGTGACTGAGCAAGCACAGGTTCTTTCTGACCTTATCCCTTTTGATTTGAACACATTTAAGAAATATGTGGAGCTACATATTGGCAGACAACCAAAACACAGATATCTTTTATTTATGAAAAGATATAACAGTATTGTTGTTTGGCCTTCGGAAAGCTTTCAGTAGGTTAAAGCCCTGACATAGGAGTGAAAGTTCTAACATCAATCCCACAGTGAAGTAGGGCTGCTCAATTCATCGTATTTTAATCGCAATTACGATTTTAGCTTGCAACGATTATGAAAACAACATAATCGAAATAAAACGATTATTTATTTTATTTTATTTATTTACATTTTTTTATTTTTAATAATTTATTTTATTGGTTTTTCAGTTGAATGATACTTAAAGTTAAGGGTAATCAACTGTTAAAAACCTACTGTTTACATTTTACTTTTTCAATAAATGGATGTTTTCAAAGTAAATGGATAATCGTTTTTAATAATCGTGATATAAATTATCGACCAAAATAATCGAGATTATGACTTTTGCCATAATCGAGCAGCCCTTCAGTGTAGCATGGATATATAAGTTTATTCAAGTTTAGGGGTCATAATCAGCTCCCTGTGTCTCTGTAATTCCTGTATTCCTTAAAGAAGAATGCTAAACGCTGTCTTTAGGCAACAGTGTCAGGCAATTACTTTCATTATTAGTTTTACTATTTGTTTTTGACAGTGATTATTTATTTGAAAGTGAAATAGTTCTGTGTTTTGGTTGAGGGGTTAAC